ATTTAGTTATTAAATTGTTTTCCTACAATCGGATAGACAAAAAAATATATTATCATGATTACATTTATTGATTTATAATCAATAATCATTTGCTCCCTAATTTCTTCCCACCCTTGATTATGTCCTAATTTCCATGTAATCAGTTGCAATTTCCTATTGTTTCAACTTTGTCATCATCCTGATCAATTATCACGATAATGATACCTGAAGATGATGATTACACTAATTAAGATTATTATATTATGATTTTTGATGATAGTTAATAATAATGATGATGATAATTTGTCTTCTTCCCATTTATGTTTTGACCAGATCAATGTACCGTTATTATTATGATACTTGATAATATTATCATGTTTACATTGATTAATCAGCTACATGAATGATGATTAACATTTACCTTTGAACATTAAAATTAAGAGATTGAGTTGAATTTGTTTATCATCATCATCATGTAATTCAATTTGATGTAAATACAATTATTATCATGTGAAAGGTAAATTGATTGATTGGTTAACTTGGTTAATAATAATAATTGTAAATTCTGGTTTTGCTTTTTGTTTTGTTTTGTTAATCTATCAACCAGGAAATTATCTTGATAAACTTTGATTACTTGTTAACTATCATGATCTTTATGATTAACATGTTACCACAATATAAAAAAAAATTAATAATAATTAACTGTAATTTTTATGGATCATTATCTGTATACATTGATTAGGTTCTTGAAAAAGAGAACAGGTTAATTTAGTTATTGATTAAATCTTTTCTCCTTTAAATTGTGTGTGTTGCATATGAATTTATATCTACTCTGTTGATGATCATTTCTTGATTAACCTTAAATTTCAGGTTGCGTGATTTAAATGGTGTCTTTAAGTGAAAGTGAACATTGATCAGGAAAAAAAATAAACTTTCATTCATTTATTATTTCATTACTTATCATGATGATGATGATGATAACCGATAGTAGATATAACTGTCAACCAATTATATTGGTTTTTAGTATTGTATTATTATGATTATATTTGATTGCGTGTAAAGGATCAGTTCTCAGTCTTCAATCTAACTGAATCTCAATTGATTTTAGACATCAGGGGGTTTGTTATGATGATGATGATAATAAGGAATAAGAATGGATGAAGATGATGATGGAAAAGAGGAAAATTATATTTAGAGGGAGAAAAATCTTACGAAAAAAGAGCAATCCGAGATTTCTTGGGTGGGTAGTGGGTGGAATTGGGTGGTAAGGATGATGGTTCATTCTGTTTATTCATGATGTGTATTATTTGATTCTCTCTCTCTCTCTCTCTCTCTCTCTCTCTCTCTCTCTCTCTCTGAGCAAGAGTATAAGAAGATAATGATGAGAGGTGGAAGATAAAGAAGTTGTTTCAATTGTGTGAACAAGATTTGATGATGTGAGAGAGAGAGTAAGTGAGTGAGTTTTGTTTCTAAATGACGTTTTCCTCTATTGACTTGAAGTTAATATTATGTTTCTATTTTCACATGTTACTGTTGATTAAATCTCTTTAAAGTTTACTGATTTAATTACGTTTTATATTAATCTCTCTGTTGATTGCTTGTTGATCTAATAATATTTTCGATATAATTTTTTATTGGATTAACTTGATTTTAATAATGAAATGATATTGATAATGCTAATGAATTGGGAGGGTTTGTTGTTTTTGTTGTGTTGATGTCAAATTAATGAGATCTAATATTTGATCAAGTGTGTTAACTGTTGGATTAAGTAGTTTTGAGGTTAATCACATTTTGTAGTTCACTTTTTTTTTATCTCGCTGATTTATTTCTGGTCAATCAATAAACTGACCATGGGATCACTATCATCATCTTTCCAGTCTGAAAATGAGGAAAAAGAAAATGCAATTGTGAATGTGTGGGATGAGGATGATGATTATGAAACAAATCAATATTCAACTGGGGGGAAAAGGAAATGATGAAAATGTGTAACAAATATAAGGAGTAAATCGTATTTAAGGACATGGATTACAATGTGTAAAGATTAAATGAAGAAAGGTGAAGATTGAGCGATAGAGAATGCGTGGGGTGGGGTGGGATAGAAGCAGATGAAGATGAAGAGTGAGAGAGAGAGAGATGATGTGGGGTTTTCTATTAGGGGTAAAATAGGAGGAGATTATTGAAAGACTATGGGAAGATGATGAGGGATGATAAAGGGATGATAATGTGGGCCTCGGGCTTGAGTGAACATATAGTATCTTGTTAGATGTTGATCCATGCATCTCATTGTATTTGTTACTAGCAATTAAACTTCCTTCCGTTTTGCATCAACGGACTGCCAGATCACTGTTATTTTATCATCATTTTAAATCATCATCATCATTATCTATCTTCATCTCATGTCTTCTCTTCATAATTATCTCACTTTCTCTCTCTCCCTCTGTCTAATTTTTCTGTTTCCTTCTTGTGACTCTTTCTCTTTCTCCATTCTCTCCCTGTGGAAAGTTTTTGTTTCAATTTATTAGCAAATTCATTTCCACAGGTTCCTTTTACATGAGGATGAGGATGCGAATGATTTTCCTTTCAGAGTAAACAATCTCACTTTCTCACTTTTATCTTGCTTTATTTCTCTCTCTCTCTCTCTCTTTGGTTTCACTAATTACAATTAACTTTTGATGATAGTCAAATTTACTAATTGTTGCAGGATATTTACAATATTTACTTTGTCGTATTCCAGTATTTTGAGTTGTTATTATCCGTTATCATGGTTTTTTTTGATAACATTTTATTGACATGAAGACAAAAAAGTTCAGGGATATTCATTAAAAGGTTTGACTCTTTTTATCAATTATTTAAGGATATTATCATCTTATTTATGTGATTATGGTGATAATGGTCAATTTAACAACTAGGTGATGATATTAAGTTGATATCATATTTTTGTTTGTTACCTTTACATAATCACCTTTCATGATGTGAGGCTGATATAATTTTCATGGTAGTTTGTTATTATTTAGTTGTATTGAATATGGATGGAAATGGTTTTTCATCAGGAAGATGATTACATAGTGATGATGATGTTGAGTTTATGATGATGATCGATAAAACCTTTGAGTTATCAATAATAATATATTTCTGGGGCCTTAAGGGAGCAAATAAGTGTTTATGTAAGTGTGGATGAGAGAGAAGAAGAAGAAGGAGAGAGACTAAGGGAGTAGATGAAAATTTCAATGAAGAGAAAAGAAAAACAAAAAAAAGTAAGAAAAGAAAAGGTAATTGATGAAGATACTTTATAATAAGAAAGGAGGAAGATAAGTTTAAGGGAGGGGATGATGTTGGTCAATTGAGGGCAAAGTTTATTGTAAAATTTAATTGTGATTGCTTTCAATACCTTTGCTTGTCAAAGTCAATTTGCAGGAAAAAAGGATGAAAATGAATTTGAGCTGCGTGAAGACAAGGAAGAGAGAGAGAGAGAGAGAGAGAGAGAGAGGATGAAGATGAGAGAGCAGTTAAAGGTAAACATAGTGTAAAGGATGAAAATTGAATGAGCTTCGGATTGATGATTTTAGTAAGTTAAAGATACATATTATGGTGAAGATAAAGTTGATCGCCTCGTTTTTGTAGGTCAGAGATTGAATTTTGTTCAGTTATCACCATGAAGTCAGAATAATAATAATAAAGGCAATCTCTTATATCTTATCAAGGGCATCAAATGTATTAAGATGATAAGAAGTTACATAAAGATGATGATGATGAGAAAGAGAAGAAAAGAAAGTAAATGAAGAAAATTTTTCACCGAAGATAAATTTTCAGTAAATATCGATCCATCTATCAACAAGAGTAACAACAACATGATCATCATGAAGATAACACGCCTTTAAATATAACTTTATTTTTCTCCTTTTTTTCTCTATCATCATCTTACTTGTCTCTTATTTCTCATCATCATCATCATCATCATCATCATCATCATCATCATCATGTTCATCATCTCTCCCTTATGTGTTATATATTACATTGACTCTCTCTCTCTCTCTCTCTCACTCGCTCTCTCTGTTTTCTCAGTGAGTTGAGGATAAAATTGGAAGATTGTTACTGAGCAATAAACATTGAGAGATAAATAAGGAAAAGAAGATGATTTAACCCAGAAAACAAATATGAATAAAACTCTGGTCTGAATTGCGAATCATGTTAAAGTGTATATGCTAGTATATTTGTGAAAGAAAAAATTTTAAAATTATAATTCATTTCATTCATTTCATTCATGATGATGATCACATATCAAGACATGAATTTGATAAATTGTTATTGATTTTTTGTCTTCACCCAAATAGTTATTTCCCTTTTTCGCTTTGTTGTTCATACTCAAAAGAAAAGTCTATTGATCTGAAGTCTAGTAAATTTTGCTCCTTTTCCTCTTCTTCATCTTCTCTTGATTAGCATTTCAATTGATCCCCTGGAATTGGATCAGATAATTTACAGAATTTAATTCAATGGTTGATTGTTGTGAAACTTTTTCTACTCTCCATTGATTTTTTTTAGTAACAATGTTTAAAAAGATGATGATAGTTGGTGAAGCCTGAGATTAAACTTACTTTTCATTTTGACTGATGATGATGATGAGGATGATGGTGAATGATAAAGTGATTAAAGAGATGATTAAATAAAGTGGATAAAAAGGTTAATTGCAATACAATTGAATTTATTTGTTACGATCAAGTTATCGATATATAAATATAATTGTTGAAACTTTTTCCTTTCCTCGGTTGATTTTATCACTTGTGAGAAAGGTTAATTTGCATAATACGTTTCAATTGATTATCACCATGATCATGATGATGATAATGATGAATATGTTTATTTTTGTTTTCTTTTTCTCATTCTCTCTCTCTCTCTCTTCTTTATTAAATACGATTACTATTGTTGATTAGAATCGTAATCAAGATAATCAAGTTGTTTATTATTTCCTATTCTTTATGTTTATATTAATTTTTTTTCTGTTTTTTTTTCTTTCTCTTTCTCAGTTGACCTATTTTACCTTTTTACCTTTACCCAGAAATTGGGTGGTTATGAGAAGATTACTCAGAATAAGGAATGGAAAAAAGTTTATGATGAACTTGGTGGTGATCCTCGAAGTACCAGTGCGGCAACTTGTACACGGCGACATTTTGAAAGGTTATTATTACCCTTTGAGAATCATTTAGCTGAGGCAAGAGGACTTGTAGTGACCAGAAGATCAACTCGAGGTAGATCAATATCTCCAATACTTCCTGGTGGATCACCAGCTACCAAAGGAGGAGGAGGAGGAGGTGATGACGATTATCAATCGGTTGGAAGTGTCAACTCAACCGAACGTCGATCTCATCGAGGTTCTCACCGCCGTCAAGGTGTACGACAATCTAAACGTTTAAAAGGTGTCGCCTCAATTTCATCATCAACTGGTGGTGGTGTTGGTAATAATAATTCATCGTCAGTTACCGCTGGTGGGTCAGCTTATGGTTCTAATGCTTCATCAACCGCTACCGATGATGATGAATGTTATTCACCAATGTCACAAGAAGATGATACAATTAAGGAAGAGGGTGAAGGTGATATTGAAAATAGTACTAAAAATAATACTAATAATAGTCGATCATCAGTTAAGGAGCGTTCAAGTAAACTTGGTGCTGGTGGAGATGAAGAGAGTCACTCTTTGTCTTCATCATCTTCAAAGAGTCATGATAATAATGGTGCTGAAAACAATGATGATGATGATGGTGGTGATAATGATGGTACAAATAAAAGTAAAGACAATCAAAGTGATTCAATGACAGAAGAAGATGAAGCTTGTGATAATGAGGCAGATGATAGAGGAGAAGGTGGAAGAAGACGAAAAAGAAAGAGAAGAAAAGGAAAGAGTTCAAATTCTAAATGTAAATCACGGAGTCCAAGCGTTGAGAATAATCTTAATTCATCGAATGTTAAAAGGTCACAATCAGAGCGTAAATTTGTTGTTAAAATTGATGGATTGTCAACCGGTGACCCAAAGATACGTAATGAAGAGGAAATCATGTCCGAAGGAGGAGTGACCATCAAAGGTTCATCATCAACAACCACAACAACAACAACGACAACGACAACGACATCACCGCCATCGCCTTCACCGAGCACAATATTGTTACCAAAAAGTGAATCCATGGAAATGGAAGATGATAATAAAAAAGAAGATGAAAAAAGTGATGAAAATGTTAATTTATCAATGAAAGAAATGATCAATAATAAGGAAGATGATTTATCGACAATCGTCAAGTCAACTGATGATGATAATGATAAAGAATCGTTAATTAACTTGGTGAAACATGATAAAAGTGATCAGTCAACTGTTGATAAATTAATTGTACCATTTAAAGATGAAATTAAACCTTTCAATGGTAAAGATTTAAATGAATCTATTGATTGGTTGAAAATAATGTCAACACGTGATGAATATGATAAAATTGCCAATTTAACGGTTGCAAGTAAAAATTGTGATAACATTAGCTCAAATTTATCTAAATCTGATAAAATAGCAACAATTAAAGGTAATCCAAATGATGGAGATAATCAAATTAACAACAATAATAAAAATATTGTTGCCTCACCTTTATCATCAATATCAACATTAATATCGGCAATGGATGTGGCTAAACAACAACAGCAAGTTCATTTATCCAGAGAGATGAAACTTGAGCCAACAATTAATAACATTGATAACCAATTAACTGTTAATCAGCTGATGGATGAAACAAATGTCAACATTGTTCAATCAAATGTTACAACTGGAGGTGTAAATTGTGGCGGTGGTGGAGTTAAAAAATCTCATCATGTTAAAAATAATGCAACAATTTTTCAAAATATTAACTCACGATCATCATCATCATCATCTTCTTCATCTTCATCTTCATCAACTGGTTCATCAACATTATTACCATCCTCAGGTCGACCCAGTGTAATCCAGAAGACACCTTTAAAACCTTGTGTCAAAGTTGTACCCACTTATAAGGATAATCCAATTGATGGATTAGTAAAGGATAACTCGTTGCTTAAGAAGATATCACTTCCCCCCACGGCTCACGCTGCAACTTTTTTAACACTTTCACCCACATGGTATTCACAACCATTCACCACTGGTTCATCACCATCAACATCATCATTACCAGTTAATAGTAAAAATAATAATTTTACTAAAAACAACAGTAATTTTTCATCCTCATCATCTCCATCATCAGCATCTTTGAAGCGTAAACTTGGTCCCTCTTTGAATGAAGACTCACCTGATTCCCTTCCATTGGATTTAACTTATAAAAAGCTTCTCATTGAGCTTAATTGTGAACAGAAAAAGGTTATTACACCAAAGGGAAAAGTACCCGCTCTTGTGAAAGTAAATGAAGGTGATGATAATTGCCCACCGTCGACAATTCTTGATTTAAGTTCAAAAATACGAGTCAAAGAAAGTTCAACTTTATCTAAAACTTGTTCCTCTGGTAATAATAATAATAATAATAATAATTTACCTTCGATACCACAATTAACTAATAAAATTGATAATAATAATAATAATGCTAATCATCGTCCATCACCTAATCATCATCATCATAATCAAGCAAACCAACAATCTTCTCGTCCTAAACAAATTGACGTTGATTCAGTTCCAATCACAAAAGTGCCAAAGAGTAATGCAAATATTAATGAAAGAGTTAAAAACAATTCATCAAAATCTGGTAACAATCAAAATCATCATCATCAACAAAATCAACAACAACCTCCTCCACCCTCACGTCATCATATTAATCAGTCACCATTACCTGTCTCATCACCAATACCTGTCCCTGGTTTAATTGGTATCTTACCACCTTCCTCAACACCGTTATCTGTACCCACAGTTGCCGCTGCCGCTGTTGCACCAATAACTAAGCATCCTCATTCCTCTTCATCATCAATCTCAACCAATAAACAACAACATCAACAAAATATTTCCAATTGTTCATCAAATCGATCTCAAATGGTCAAACCAAGTCCATCTCCAAATGCCTTGAAAGTAAAAGAAAGTAAATTAAATCATTTGTCGTCGGTCAATCATCTTGGATTTGGTCTTAAAGATCTCAATCAACAGCAACAATTATTAATGCAAACACACCTTAATGATTTGGCTAATGGTTTATCCAACCAACAACAACAACAACAACTACATCATCACCATCAACAGCAACAACAACAACAACAACAGCAACAACATCATTCACACCACCAACGCCGTCAACATCAATCACAACAACCTCCCTCATCCCACCATCATCAACAACAACAACAACATAACCACCAGCAACAACAATTACCTCATCAAATGACAAGCATTCCTTTATTATCATCAGATAATCATGATATTCAATCAAAATTACAATCAGCTAATACTCTTAATCAATTACGTGCAATGGTTACACCGGAAAATTTTGCTCTCGCTCAGCAAACAATTGCTCAAGAAATTGCTCTACGTGAGATGGAACGACTTCATCCCAATTTCGCTAAACAAATGAGCCAAATGTCATCAGCCGCCGCTGCTGCAGCGGTTCTTGGCTATCCAACTGGTTTCCATCCAATGATGAACATGTCGGCGGCCCACCGGTTAACCGTTCCATCCTCATCACCTTCAATCTCAGAGTACAATCCAACTTTACCCTCTTTCCTGCCATTTTTAAATACATTTTCACCCCATGGAGCTACTGGAGGTGGAGGTGGTACACAGCCAATGCACCATCCATCCGGAATTTCAACGCCAAATCCCAATAACAATAATAATAATAATAATGCCGCCGCAAACAATGTTAACTCTGCTGTTGCTGCTGCTGCTGCCGCTCTTGCTTCCGGTCATTTTTTTAATCCTACTGCTTTTGCTGGTCAAGGGTTCTTACCCCTTGATCTACTTGGAGGTAATCCTGGTGGTGGTGGAGATGAAAGGTTCTCCGCTGCTGCTGCAGCCGCTGCCGCTGAAAATGATGCCCGATGGAGAGGCTGGTTTGAATCGCGAACCTTTGAATGATACTAATCAAGAAAATTAAAGAAAAAATCAGTCATCATCATTATAAAATCATCATCATTTCTCATTCTAATTCTTCATCATCTTCACCACATTATCTTAATTATATTTAAAGAAAAAGCAAAAAAAATAATAATTAACTAATCATAATTATAGTGAATGTAATAACTGTAATTCATTGTTCTGTATTGTTAATTGCTGCCTTTACGAGCAAATGATGAAAAAAAAAACTTAATAAAAAGAAGATAATTTTTTGAGAAAAAAAATTAATCGTTAAGTTTTTCTGCTAATTCAAACAATTTACTAATTGTTCTATTGTTAATATAATATATTGGCAGTTTATCTTAATTGTTATCAAAATAATTATCTTCTAATGGTCACAATTAGTGATTGAGGAAATTTTTCCTTATTAAGTTGACATATTAACTTTTAATTGTTTAATTGACCATTACAATTAGATTGTAATCTATTTAATTTCTCATAGTTTGATTAGTATGATTAATATTGACAGTTAATGGTTTTAATTTTTGTTAATAATTCACAATCAAGGTTGGTAATTAATTGTAATTATTTTCATTTTTCTCAATGACAGAAACTTTTTTGTTTCGGTTAAACAATCAATCAACTAATCAATTGGTTTAGTAATATTTTTTGTTATATGTTAATTACAATTTGACATTGACACCATTTAACCATTTTTAATGAGTATTAACTTTAATCATTTGAATCAGGTTGATTTAACCAATGAAAAGTTAATTAATTGTGAAAGTTTGTTAATTTCATCAATCGGTTGGATTTTTTTTTCTCTCATTTTTGTTGATAAACAGGAAGGGAAAAGTCAATTAACTTTAATCACTTAATCAGTTTAAAAGAAACATTTAATTGGTAATAATAATGATGATGATAAAGAACGAAAAGTTTAATTGTGATTACAATTAAATGAGAACGAAAGAAAATTAAAAAAAAAGTTGAATTGAATTTGGAATCGTTGTTACCATGACTACGAAGGTTCGGCGGGTGATTTGAAAAACTTTTCGAAATTTGAATTAATTTGATCGAGCCTGTTTTTCTCTCTCTTCGTTTTCGTTTAGGCTAAAGGTCATTTCAGCGGTTCGAAGTAAATAACGACCGAAGGAAATATAAGGTAAATTGGGCTGTTTTTGTAGATCTAAAAGAAAGCGGAAAATTTTCACTCGATTTTTAATCGCTAGGAAATCATCGATTATCGCGATCAGGCCAATGATTAGAATGACCTGGATGATTAGAACGGTTATTAGAATTGCTGAGATAATGAGGAAAAATCTGTCCAACCCGAAGGGTATTTTCTCAATTGCTAAAAGGAAAATTGAATCTTCGATGAATTGATTCAACAGATCGGGACAAATATCAGTATTCCAGATGAACATTTCGTTACAAAGATCACCGGGAAAGTTGAGAATACAAAAGTACCCGTTCGTTTCATCGTCGAAAAAGACTAACCAACGATCATCGGGAAAATCGACGATCGCTCGAACTGAGAGTAAATCGATGGTAAAATAATCTGAAACCAGGAAACCTGAGGGAATGGAACGTGGATTAAATGGAGAATGAAAATTGTACCATTCGAAAATGGTTCGAACTACAAGTCGAGGAGAAATTAGGGAGAAAAATCCAAATATCGATTCATTGTACATTGGAAGAATATACTTGGCATGAATTGGATCAACAATCCAATAGCTGGTTAAATTAGTTCGAATAAATTGTTGATTAGAAAATTGGAACCAACGGTTTTCCTTGAAGAAAAAAGTATTTCCAAATAATCGGTTAGATTGATCGGTAATCGTTAAACTTGCATGAATTCCAGTGATTAAATTGTTCCAATCAGCCAACGGTCTATCAGGCAGTAAAGGTTTCGACAGATCAGATGACCAATTGAAATAATTTTCTCCCTTGAAAATATAAATTCGCCCATCGATTGTCCGAACCGCCGTATCGATCATACCATCGTCACAAAGGTCCAACAAAGGTGAGACTTTAGTACAATCAGTTAATCGTATAAAAAGTTTAACAACAATCAGAAGAAAGAAATAGTTATTTGTAATCATCGATAAACAATTTCAACAATTATCGTGATTAAAAAATTAACTTAAATCTCCTAAGAAAAGATAAAAATTAAGATTAACTTTTTTTCTCAAGAGTTTGAGACAATCAAAATGTAGATTTATGAACAAACCCCGAAGAGTAAAAATCTCAATTTGATTTTTTTCATTTCAACGGTTTAATTGTCGACTGATGATTTAATTGTTTCTTTTGTTTAACCTTTTGATTAATTAAGGTAAGAATCAACTTCTTTATGAATTGTTTGTCAATCTAAATGATTATTTAAAAGAATTTACCTTTGGATTGAAAATCTATTGGGTAGAATTTTCTTTTTCTCAATTTTGTTCTCTTTTTAGATTTGTTTTTTTTTCTATTCTTTTTGTTTTCAAATTAGACTAACCTTTTGTCTGTTTGTTTGTTTGTTTGTTTCGTTTGCTATATTTTAGATTATGGACCAATCAAAACCTTCACAATCATCACAATCAGCAGGACCATCATCACCTTCACTTTTACATCCGAATCCAAGACGTTTATTTGTCCGTAATCTTGGTTATAAGAGACGTAAAGAAGTTCTGATCAGATATTATACCAAATTTTTCAATCAATTTGGAGCAGTTGAATTTTTCGATGTTGCCTGGGATCATATACGAAATGCTGCCAAAGGTTATGGTTTTGTGACCTTTAAAAAACTTGAAGATGCAGAGAGGGTTCTTGCTCTCACTCCAAAAGAGTTATATGTCACTGGAGTCAATAAGACTGTTGTAGTTTATCCAGCAACCCAGAAGACAATGGAATTGATTAAAAATGAATTGAAAGAATTAGCTATAGAAAGAGAGGCGGTTAGACAACAGAAAGATGAGCTACTCTCCAGCCCATTAAAGGAAACATGTGATGAACCAGAAGATGAAGAAGCAAAGAAAGAGGAAGATGAACCAAAAGAACCAGTTGAAAATCCAAGTGAATCTCCCGCCAATAATCCAGAAGAGAAATTGAGTAAACTGACAATTAACGATTTAGATGATGTGACACTTTTGGTTATTTTCGACCATTTTCCAGTGAAAGAAAGGTTCCTCTTCTCGATGGGTAATTAGCACTAAACACAATAATATCCTTGCGAAAATCTAATCACTATCTCTCTCTCTCTCTCTCTCTCTCTAATCCAATTCAATTGTCCAATTCTAATTTTCTCTCATTACAGTTAATTCTCGGTTTGCTCGGTTAATGGAAACAACTTGGGCTGGAACAACAAGGTTAAGCTTCAGGGAATCGTTTTGTCTTTGGCAAGGTCAAAGTATGAATTGAATTATATTCAACTGAGCTTCCATGTTAACATCCTGTTCAGTGTAATACCCTTTAAATTAGTTATCCGTTTGGTCAGTCATCTAATTATGCTTGATAAAGCTAACTGACCATCGACTTTTACTGTTGAGAAATCAACATCAGTTATTAAGCTTTTAAATTTGTGTTGAGTTGAAAAATGTCATCAACAGATTAGTTTTAAAATAAGATCAATCTAATTGACTCATTTGTTTACATTTTTCTGATGACTAAACGCTTGACCATATTCACTGATTGGTCAAAGGAGATAATTAGTGATAATTTTAACAGCTAGATTACTTAATCTTGATTTACTTTTTCTCTCTATTTGTTTTGCTAATTGTTGTCAATATTTTTTTTCTCCCTAATCGCAGCTCTTGATTCTAATATTTTATTCAAAGTTCTCAAGAAATGTCCAGGCCTTAAAACTCTTGATTTCTATCAAACGGCAACCACTTTCGATGATAAAACTTGCGATATAATTGGTAATTAACTTTTCTCTCTCTCAAACCGACACTTTCAATTAACTAATATTCTTCCGACTTGTGATCACTTTTTTATTCCAGGGAGATGTTGTCCTCTCCTCGAAAAGCTAGTCATTCGTGATACCGCTCTAAACAAATACAGTGTCACCACAATTGGAAAATTCTGTCCAAATTTAAAGGTAATTATTATACAGCCAAAGATTTCGAGTTTGCAATCACCTAATTAAATCATTCGCGCAGATAATGATAATCAGAGGACCATTTAGCACCAAGAGATACCATCGTTTAAGTTAGAAGAGGGTATTATCATACCCTTTGGGTTAACTTAATCTCTCAATGATCATACTAATATTTAACTGTGTTAATGATTCAATTACTGGTTGCAAATTCAATCACTTTGTTGTACTAGAATTGATTTAATTTTCTTTTCTCATCCCGTTCTCATTAAATATACTGATTATTAGTTTATCGATTTCGGTAAATGTGAAAATGTTACGGAAAAAGGACTTTGGGGACTTTTTCATTTACGACCTGATTTGGAGAAAATCATTTTATCTAATTGTGAATTGGTTACTGGTCGTTGTTTCTATTTATTAAACAATCTTTCGTATCTTGATGTAACTAATTGTTCACCAGTAAGTATAACAATTTAACTCTTCAAAAATGTTTAATATTCGATTAACTTTAATTGTCTTCTCAATTTTAGGTTCTAAATGCAAGTTACTCAAGATTAGCTCAACACTGTGCTAAAACATTGAAGGTACTTTTAGCACCACCGATGACCAACGATGGATTATCTGATATTTGCCGAATTTTTTGTAATCTTGAGCGCCTCGAAGTAGATCAAACGGCTCTTGATCGTAAGTCGATCTATAAATTTAAACTCGATTCAAGAACGTTGAATAGTTTGATTAATCTGATTTGCTATCTTTCTCTTCACCAGCCTTCCTAATTGGATGTAATCATCTTGCCCAATTAACCAAACTCGAGAAACTGATCTTCCGTCCAGAACTTTCCGATTTAAATGATGAAAATTTTCAATTCATCTTCTCAAATTTACCTCTCTTACGGGAATTGACCTTGTTTGGTAACGATAATGTTACCGATGCTTCCGTTACTAGTCTACCGGAACAATGTCCAAATTTAAAGTTAATCAATCTTGAAGGTTTTAAATTTGGCGATGCAACAATTAAATCATTCGTTGCTTTTAAAAATCTAGAATCATTAACAGTCTCGGGAAGTTTAATTACCGATGAAGGTGTTGCTCATCTATTATCACAATCACCTAATCTTGAATTACTCGGAGTCAATTCTTGTCTTGGAATCAGTTTGAAAACACTATCCAATGCTTACGAATTAATTACTCAAGGATTGGTTAATAAAAAGTTAATCATTTGCTATAACAATTGTCGAATCCGAATCAGCGAGTTCAAGGACAAAGATGATGTTCGACGATATGAATCAAAGGACATTTGGGGTTCCGATGAAGAATATGCTGATTATCCTGATTATGAACCAGAATTTGATGAACTCGAGGATTATGATCATGATTTTCCTTATGCTGATTATCACAATTACTCGGACGAAGATGATTTTATCGCTGATGGTGATCTCGATTTCGAGGAAGAAGAACTCACATAAATCAATTGACAATCGACTTTTTTTCACCGTCACCATTTCGTTTTCACAATTTCAGAGTTTTAATTGTCATCGAAAATCACAATTTATAGTTTTTTACTTTTCTTCTGTACATTAATTAAGCTCATCGAACACAATCAACTCTAAATCATGATCTCTGTTTCTACTTTCGTAAACAATTTAAATCAATTGATCTCTTTCTAATTTTCTATTCAAAAATAACAATTTAAATAAAAATTATCTCCTTTATTAGCTAATTGTGATTCACAATAATCTTGTTTGAAAGAGTTGATCTGTTGATCGATTTTTTTTGTTGTTGAAAATGAATCAATAGTTGGTCTCTTTTCAATACAAACTTTTACCATGATCAATGTTCATTTTAAATTGTAGCTTGTAAATGATTAACAACCGATCACGACTAGAAACAGAGAGAGAGAGGACAATTAACTTTGTAATTGGGTTTTGTATTGTTACACAATCTTGAAGTTTTAAATAGTATTACAAAAGTTGATTGATTGGAATTGGAAAAAGTTTGATTTTTTTCAGAACAAAAAATTCAATTAGCATCATGATCATCAGAATCTTTCTCAGATTCAGAGGTCATAGTAACATCACCAGAGGTCAAAGCTCTACCAGGAATATAACCCGCTTTCAATAGTTGATTAAGTCTTTCAATTTCTTCCAGTGTCTTGGCTTTGGCAATCGCGGCTTTAATTGCTTCCACATCGGCTGGAGTATGAATCGGTTTACCATGTTGATTTGTCGTCGATCTGTTGGTCTCAATGTTGTTATTATTGTTGGTGGTGATGGTTGATGAGGTTGTAGAATTTGAATTAGAAGTGATAAATGTTTTCGATTTGATTCCAATTTCTCTTGCCAATTGTTTACCTTTTCCACCTTTAAACAAACTAGCTGATTCTTCACGTTCCTTTCGTTTAATTTTACAAAAATCGAGTATCTTTAATTTGGGCAGCTTATGGATAACATATTGTCGATAATATTTTTTGGTTGTCAATGGATTATTAAGTAAACAAAGACATTCTAATTTAGGTAGACAAGATAATCCATCAATATCACCAAGTTCACCAAGTGAATTATTGGTTAATATTAACCATTCAAGATTGGGTAAACAGGAATCCAAATCATTAGCGATACGATTAATCCTATTGTTGCTGATTAAAATTTTCTTCAATCGTAATAAAAGGGGAAAACCATCTAATCGTCTTATGTTATTATCAGTGAAATCGATACAATCAAATTGATCCAAACAAGCGCCGAGATTTTCAATCACACTGATCTTATAATCACGAAGATCCAATTCTCGATCCTTAGTCGCTGGATTAATATACTGACGAGCATTGGCAACAATATCTACAGTTAACTTCATCTCTGTTTGTCACATAAAATATAATCAAAAATTAGAAAACAAAAGTAAATTTAATTTGACAGATCAAATTGTTTATAGAAGAAGATGAAAGAAACAAAAAAAAATCGGTTACAAATAATGAAAAGAAACACATGTTGACCAATGGGAGAAGAAAAAAAGGCGGAAAATTCAAAAAAGAGAAAAAAAAATTTCTCTTAATCGAAAATTGTTCATATGTATCGTTTTCTTCTAAAACGTTAGATGGCGCTAGGGACTAGTCGATATTCGAATCTTTCTATCTGGTATTTTCTATCCACTAGACTCTATGGAAATTATTGGATTCGGATGAAGACTTGGTGATTACCGAATTTTCTAATCTCGAAAGCGGAAACCGAATAGGTGAAATTCCCGTTGATCATTTAATTCTCTCACTTTGATTACAAATCTATTGGTAAGTTGATCTGTTGTTGATTATTAATTGACTTTGTTTCGTTAATTGTGTTTATTGAAAATCAATCGAGTTGATTACTATTGTTAATTGTTCTCTTGTAAAAGAATAATTAACATTTACCTTGTGTAATATTTACCGTTTCTTTTTTCTTTTGGTCAACATTTGGTTTACCTTTTTTTCCCCTTGACGATTCGTTTGGATTTCTATCTCTTTTTCTTTGGCCTAAGGCTTAATTTGGATTAATCTGTGGATACAATTTGAATTTATTGTTTCAGGTGAATATGTTTAATTGTTTATTGTAATTTAAATGACAAAAAGTGTTACTCATACTCATCAAAAGAGGGCGATTGATATTTGACTTTTTTTTCAGTTGAAAAAAAAATTGTCCGGTTGATAATTTTTGCTTTTTATTGGTTAATGAAGATGATAAGTTTGGAGAGAAAGAGATAGATATATATATAGAGAGAGAGGTAGAGTGAGAGAGATGGGATGATGATGATGAGAGAGAGACTAAAAAGAAAGGTGAAAAAAAGAGAGACAGTAAAAAAGAGAGGGTTGTTTATTGGGCCTGGTTCGTTTTTTTAATTTTACCCGGAGGCACAAAATCATCTCCCTCTCCCTCTCTCCTTTTCTCTCTCGTTTCTTCATCCTCTTCTCTCTCTCTCTCCTTCTCCTTCTCTCTCACTCTACTAACATTGATGATAATACAGATAAATACACATTTATACACTTTAGCGAGCCAATTATGTGTTTAACTCCTTAAGAAAAACCCTAATATCATATTGGTGATTTTATTTTTCTTTTCATTACCTTTTGTTTTTTATTTACTCTTTTTTTGTTGAAAAAAAAGTGACCATTGTCCAGTTTGTTGTTGTTGTTACAATCATTTCAAGTGTAATCCTTTCTCATCAATTATACATCATCTTCCTCATCCTCTTCCCCCTTGCAAATTTAAATGATACAATCAATTATCATCCTCATCAATAACACGTTCTTCATCACCATCTTCATCTTCATCCTCATCTCTCATTATATTAATTATAGTTAAATTATTATTATTATTATTACGATTGAGGAATTGAATCAAAAACAAAAGTGAAATTTCAACTTTAATTTAAAGTTGATTAATCAGTTTAATTTTGTTTTTCGTAAGAATCATTTGATTTTGTTTTTTTACTTATTTCAACTAATCATCATGTTTATTGGATTTACCTTTGATTTTGTGTTACCTTGTTGTTGATTAATTTGCAATATTGATTTTATTTTTTTCTTTTAATGGTTTAAAAACTAATTAACTGTTTAATTATAGTTAATTTGTTGATTGTTTTTTTTTTGGTGAAAACTTTTTTCTTTTTGTTTTCTTCTAAATTAACTCTGTGGATCAATTAAATCCCAGAATCAGATTGTTTTGTTATTATTATTGTTTGAATATCAAACTCTATCAAAACGGGAGTTTTAATTGTTTCGTTAGTGTGTGTTTGTGTTGATTTGTTTTGTCGTTAAAAATTGACAACAATTAACAAATTAATTAATCAAAGAAGAAGCAAAAAAAGATTAACTTATTACTATAAATATTACAATGGAGTGTCAATATGTTGCTACTCAACGAGGTGGAATCGCTCTTGTCTTTGAAGGCCATCGATATAATAAAGTTCGTGATGGTAAAGATGGTACAGTTTACTGGCGATGTTCCCGTGATCGCCAGTGTCCAGGTCGAGCTGTAACGGTTAACAATCGTGTTAAAAAAGCGAACAATAAACACAACCATCCAGCCGAAGCGGGAATCGGTGGATTATCTGGTTCAACGGGTTTACTTCGTAATGGTGGATCAACGGGAACCGGAGGGACAACAACAGCCTCATCATCGGCGATCAATTTGTACAATTCACATGGAAGAGAGACAAATAGTAGGGAAAGAGAGAATACCAATAATCATCATCACCATCATCATAATCAACATCATTCTCATCATCATCATAATACCAATCGTCATCATCATCTTCACCATCATAACAATAATAATTCAAACCAATCAAATAACAATAATAGTAATTCAATTAATCTAAATCATTCTGGTAATAGTAAAGATCAACCTTTATCACTTTCAACTCATCACACCTCAGGATCATCTTCATCAGCTGGATTATCACCACCATCTTCAAATACACTGACCGGTCCACTTTTATCAGAAATGTCACCAATCATTGCCCCAAGAGTACCAACTGGATTGACCATCCAAGAGGTTCTCAATGCTCAAACCGCTGCAGCTGCAACCGCCGCTGTTTCATTTCCAACTCTCATGCAAGAGACACTTAAATACATTGCCTTTGCCAGCGGGAATCATCAAATCGCCTCATTTGCCGCCTCAATGGCCAATAATTTTGCTTGTCCGTCCATTGAAAATTTAGAGAGGTCACTTTGTCGTAACATGTTCAACAATGAAGGTTTGAATACTTTTCGTTTTGCTCTTGTTTTCTTTTCTCTCTCTTTCTCGTCATTTCATCTAAATATCAACTAATTATTTTCCAAGGGAAACTGATATATAAATGATAACAATCTAATCCTCATATAATTAATTAATCCCTTTCGACAATCTTAAATTCAAATGGTTATTAACTTAATCCATGTTGACTATTTCATTTTAATCTCATAACAATTTGCTTAATCTGCTCTCTCTCTCTCTATTTTCCTGTGACTTGATTAATAAATTGTTAGCTCAATTTTTTATTCTTTAGTCTTGATTACAGATTAAACTAATTGAATTGAATTGAATTAACTCATTTGATCCATTTTATATAATTTAGTTTATCTAATCTTTAGTATCTTTGACCATCTTGACCAAGAAAAAAGTTTTGATTTAAAAAGTTTTTTTCTTCTTCTCTAACTAATTAACAATCTAAATCATTCTGAAATTTACCTCAACTTTTTTTCTCAATTTATTGTTGATTATCTTAATCCAATTTTCTCATAAAACATTGAAACTCTCCTACCTGGATTAATCTAATTTAATTAATCAACTTCCTACCAAAAACTAATCATATTAACTACTGATTTTATCATAACACCCGCTCACATGTAAACACTCACACACAAATTCACATACAAATCAACTAATAATTGTGATTAAATTGTGATTAAATTGTGATCAGCTGATGGACAATTTAAACAGAATTGCAAGGTATTAATTGTAATTTATTTTTCATCATATTATCTTTTGAGAACTCACCTTGAACTTGATTAGAAAATGTTGATAATATTTATAAAGTTAATTGTGATCAACTTTTTCTTACTTTAAATATATAGAAAAAGGGTTCAAGTAATTAAATCCATTGGCTTTAATTGTGAAATGAAAATACTAATCATTACCTGTCTCTCTTGTCATATCCGTTACCTGGGGCTACATAATTTTTTTGCATCCACATTGTTTAATATTATTGTGATTAAATTTAATTGTGATAATGATTATTCCCTATCCATAATTTTTAGTTTCCATGGAGTTTTATTTTTATCATCAAAGCTTTTTAATCATGTTAATGAACGTTAATTTCAGTTTAATTCTTGTGCTCTCACCTTAATCAATTTTAAAACATCAACAATAATATATATCAGGTTAATTGATTAATTGTGAGTTAATTAAAAGTGATTCAGTCTCTTTGCATTTTGCTGTGAAAATAACAAGAAAACTAATCATTGAAAGTTATAGGAACTTTTTTCTCCACCTTGTTACCTGAATAAAGGGTTATTATCATTGAGGTAGAGATGATGATGGAGAGTAAGATGATGAAGAAGAAGAAGAAGAAGATGATGATGATGATGATAATCGTTAGCACTTTCTCACGCTTTATATTCATTAGACTTGCCAATTAGATTCCAACGAATTCATCTTTAAAATGTTAGGAAGAAGAAAAAGAAAAAAAGAAGAGAAAAAGTTAACATGAATATTATCTTTTCTTCTTAAAGATGATGAAGACGAAGATGAGGATGAGGATGAGGATGGAAAAATAATAGTACTAAGTATTAGCTATTATCATGATTATCTTGATATTATCAATTATCATCATGATTACCTTGAACTTATCACCTCTGATCAAGGTATTACTGTTACTATTTGTTTCTTAATAATAATATTTTTTTTCTTCTGTTTTTTTTTCATCATTTCCAATTGAAACCAATCAACTGATTAAACAACAATAATCAATTAAAAGTTGATTATTATTATTTATTGGATATTAATCATCGATAGTTGATTTTTGGTGTTTCAAAAGTAAAAACAAGTTGATTAACTAATCAATTTAATTCTATCTGTCAACTTTTTCACAATTCTTTAACTTTATCTGATTCTCAGTTTTTGAAGAAACAAAAAAGTTATATCATTTTTGGGGAAATTTGAGTTTTTTTTTCTATCATGTTGATTACCATGATGATGATGATGATGATGATTATCAACCCTTTAGATCTAATAATCTTTTCCTCTGGGCAATTAAGATTCTGATCATCATTTTAATCATTATCATCATCATCTAATCATTGCGATTTTTGATTTTTCCTAAAACTTATAATTAAAATGAATGAAAATGAAAAGTTTTTTACTTTTTTTTTAAATTGTTTAACATACTTTTGGATTAGTTAAATAATTAGCTAATTGTGATTTAACTTTTACGTTTAAACGTTTAATTATTATTTACCCAAAAACAATTGTTACATTATCTTGTTTGATTATCGGTTTAATCAATTAATTTAACTATCGCAATTAAAGTTTGTTTTTCTGTATATAAAATATTAGTTATCAAACTTTAATTACGATCAATTTTTCTCATTTTAATTACTATCTGATTGGATTTAGTTAAATATATTAGTTATAACAAAGTTAATCAAGCAAGAGAGAGAGAAATAATTAACAATCAATAAATCCAAATTTCAATTTAGTTACAAGCTAAATTGTAACTAATCAGTGTCTTAATTGTGTCTATGTTGTAGATTGAGATACATACTTATAATCGAGATTAAATTGTCTCTCATTAATCAACTTTGTTTGTTTTATTTAATCGTAAATTGTAAACAATTAACTTTGAATTACAATCTACTATAAAGGTTTATTTTTCTCCTCCATGAACACTGAATAAATTCAGAGGATGAAGAAAAAAAGAAGACAAAAAGAAAAGGTTAACCTTCACAATCACCTTTTCGATATGTTATTATAGCCTAAAGGTGAATATCTTTTTTTCATCATCATTATCATCATTATATTCATCAGAATCTTCATCATCTATCTTTTTTTTTTCATCCATTTAATATAAATTATTGGGCTTGGCCATTTATCTTCATATATATTTCGTATATAAAGTATTCTGGTCACATTTGTTGATGTTTAGACATGATGATGATGATGAGGATGCTGTTTATCATCATCATCAACATTGATGTTAATTATCATCTGTTGTAAATTCAGAAGCTATTAAATATCATCATTTATCCCTTTGAGTCTTAATCATTAGTCGATTTTAATGGTTAACTTGGTTAACTTTTCGGTTGTTTTATTTTCTATATTTAAAACAATTAACTGATTTAGTTATTATCCAGTTAATTGTTTTCAATATTCTAGTTGTTGATTGTTTGGTCAGTTTTGTTTATATTTTAGGTCAAATTGATTTGTCTTGGACAATTTAAAATAATACGTTTCCAACTGAGATTATGATGATTAATTTAATTCTCAATTTTCCTCTTCACAATTAGATGCGTTTCAATTGCAATTATCATGCAGATCAATTTTGATTAATTGATTTAGTTGAACAATTTGTTTTTCATCCTCAACTTTGCAACAATAGGTAACAATTAAATAGATTAATCATTTTCGTGTTTAATTTAATTCTTGGCTCGTTGATTTATATTCATAATTTTACAATTAGTGATGGTTTTGTAAATTGTTGCAGAAATAAAACTAGTTTATCATTTAAGGTGTAAAAGGGGATAATCTTGACGATAATGATGATATTGTTGATTACCGTTAATCGTGAATGATTTTCATGGTCACTTTTATTTACTTGTGATTTAATTATAACTCATGATAATCTTATGACTTGAGTTGTTTACAATTTATCATTGAAATAGTTTACAAATCAAATCACTTTGAAAAAAGGTAACAATCAACATAGGAAATCAACTGATCACCATCATGATCAACAGGCAAATGTTGATCTGGATTAGAAAAGGACACAAATACAATCATAGAATCAACTTGATTTGAAGCCAATTAAAATGGTGGAAAGATGATGAGGATGCTCAGAATGAAGGATGAATAATTATCATCATCGAAGAAGAAAAAAAAAACCAAAAAGACAAACTCATATTTGTGTAATCATGAAGGCAAAAAGAAACGATTCTTACCTTGATTTATAGCCTTAAAATTGGCCTCAGAAAATAAATTCATCTTCTCATCCATCGTCCATTCAACCCTTTCCTTCATCATCATCTTGTCATCTCTCACTTTCTCTTTCTTTTAAGCTCCCCCTTACTAACTATATGATGATCATCATCATGATCATCATCCCAATGATGATCTGAGTAAATGTTACTTTAAATCATGTTTGGGCCTCAATGCTTGTTGTTTACTATTTTTATCCTATTTCAATTTCTTACCTTTTCATATCCCTTTGATTACCTGTAATCATCATTAATATTATTGTTAATTCATATAATTAATGAATTAAATGTTTCCAGTATTATTTTTCATCAATAATTATCATTTCTTATACCTTTCTATTCATATTGGTGAGTGTGATCATGAAAAAGTTTATATCTAATGTATGTAACCATGAGGTTGAAAATTAGTTGATTTAATTGTTGTTGGATCTTTTTTTTGTTTGTTTGTTGTGATCATCAATTACAATTAATGATTTGATTGCTAACTGTTGATCATCTTTGTGTTTTAATTTGCCCAAATGATTATCTCACAATCTAATTACTTTACATGATTATCATGAATTGTGTTGTAATGATTATTATGATGATGATGATGATGATAATGGTGATGATGCTTTTCACTTTGTGTTTCAACAATTAATTTAATTCAAACAATTTTCATGATAACCATGATATTGCTGTTAAATTGCCCTCAGGGTTGATTTCATCTTTTTTTTCTTACCTTTTTGTTTCATTATTATTACTCCTTGATCACATTTCCTAATCAAATCTAATTAGTTAACTATGATTATCATTTATGAGATGTTGTTATCCTTTTTATTTGAACAACAACAACAATTTAATCACCATTGGCAATTTATTTTAATTGTTGCCACTTTTGCTTGAAAAAATTAATATTTAATTTTCATTTTGATGTCTATATGAACTTGTATTGGTTAATTTGATTTACTAGCTACAATTAAGTTAATCAAAGTTAAAACATCTTGAATGAATTGATTAATCAGCTTAAAACTGTCCATGATTA